ACCCCACCTTCAGCCCCCTGGCTGTCCGCTCCATTTGCACTGGCAACCCCGGAGCCCACTCCGAAGTGGGCACTCCGTAGTCACAAGTGAACGACTGAGTGAGTGCATTCGTGCGTGGCGCCCTCCTTGGTCCCCTGGGAACTTCAGTGGCGTTTCCTCCTGTGCCCCATTGGTCCTTAGCCCCCACCGCATGGCAATTGGTTGGCGGCATCTGACTCCCAGGTGTCCCCCGCGGGCCAGCCCCGCCGCCCGCAGCTGAGTGGGAAGAGTGTTGCTGGGGAGTCGGACCACCAGGCCGGTCCTGGAGCTGCCGCCACAGCTCCCTCTCCTCCATGTAAACTACGCTGACGACAGACCTGCCCCGCAGGACTGGCTGTGCAGAGCCAGCGCGATCACGGCTGTCACACGCCTCCCAGTGCCTGCCCCTCGCAAGGCTCCGTGACTAACGGGGAAAACATGCGACCAGTTTGTTAGGGATCCTATGCCCTGGCCCGGCACCAGCTTGCCATGTAAGCTGTGCCATCCGGGCAAACTCCTTTCCCACCTCTGGGCCTCAGTTTCCCTAATTGTAACACAACGATGTCCCCTGAAATGCCCTCTGCGCCCGACTCCACACACTGAAGCTCTGCCCACCCCATGGGCTGGCAGATGCTGCCAGGGCGAGGGCTGCGATGAGCCAGACCGGGTGTGACCGGCGTTGACTCACGCACCGGACAGGGCCAGGGGCTTGGAGAGGCGCATGAGGGCGATGTCGTAGTCGTCCTGCTCGTCAGAGTAGTTGCCGTTGATGATGATCTGGGAGATGGAGGCCGCCTCGGGCAGCTGCTGCAGGTTGTTGGTGCCGGCGTACACCTTCCAGCCCTCCAGGATCTTCTCCCGGGTCCTGCAGGGGCCACAGGGGAGTAAGCCCAGTCACCTGCCCGCCAGCCCCCCGCAGGGCGGCGTGTGCTACACAGGAGCTGCGCTGCGGGCCCCAGCCTGGTGGCAGGAAGATGGGTGACGTGGCCTCGGAGGCGCCCTGTCTCAGCTCAGGGGTGCAAAGCAATGCCCCTCGCCCCCAAGCCACCCCGAGCCTGCACCTGCACCCTCCAACAGAAAGGGAGGGGCCGAGCAGGGTCTCTGGGAGCAGTCACCCCCTGTCTCCTCTGCACGCCCCCAAAGATCAAGTCAGGGGGCAGTACACATCTCAGTATTACTGTCCTCAGTAGAAGCAGAGGTCTAGGCAGGACAGAGTGGCCGCTGAGGACTCACTGCTGGGCAGGGTGCCTGAGGCGGCTCTCCAGCCGTTCCCTGCCCACTGCTCACAGACATGCCTGGCTGCCACTCCGACCCCTCCCCCAGCCCTCAGTTCCCCAGACAGTGTCCTGATTCCCCAAGCTCCTCTCCTGTAAGTTCTGGTTCCAGGAACCAGCAGCCAGGAGCCCAGCGCCTGGCCTTCAGGGCAGGCTCCTCCTGTCTCCTCGCTCTCCCTGGGGCCACCAAGCAAAAGCATCGTCTGAGGCTGGGCCTGATGCAGAACAGACGCCCAGGACCAAGGGCCCCTGGAGAGGGGAGGGCGGCCTCACACCAGCCCTTCCGGTGACCCCGAACCCCGCACCCTCGCATCACCTGCCCCTCGGCACTTACACAAAGAAGCAGTGGGCAGCCGTGAGCACCCACTGGGCGTCGATCAGCGTGCCCCCGCAAATGTGGGTGGTGCCGTAGTGCAGGCTGACTTGCCAAGGCCACTTGCTCTCGGGGGCCAGTGCCCCTCCCACGATCCGCCCCGTCATGGCCCTCAGTCCGCAGTCTGGGGGAAGCAGAGAAGACGACCCATGAGCGCTGCTTCTCTCCGAGCCCTGCCATGCTCCCTGGGCCCAGGGCAGGCTCGGGCAGCCCGGTCCCAAGGGCACCCACCCGCCCGTGGGCAGCACTCTGCCCACTTAGTCTGATGTGGCTCAGTGTTTCCTGCCAAGGCAGGAGCCCCCGTGGCGGCTAGCTTCCTGGGACCACCCAGCAGGAAGTTTGATCCCAGGCAGGTCCCTCTTTCCTCTGCCCCCTTCACTCTTCCTCAATTTCAACAAATGCCCAGTAAGTGCCCGATATGCTGGGCCTGTGCCGGGCACGGTGGCGGGTTTCCACGGGACATCTCGGGGCTGCTGTCAGGAGCTGTGCTGGGATCGCCATTCCCTCCCTAAAACTAGCGGAGACATAAACTTCCCACGATGCACAGGTGGCGTGGTGCCCACGTGGTTCCTCAGTGGGTCAGTTCACGCTGTTGGGGGCCCTTCATCCCAGGGAACATTTCCCGGCATCTCCTGGAGTGAGTCATCCCCCCAAAACCGTGGACAAGGAGGGCAGCCTTGGGGTCTCTGCAGATGGGCTCTTTCCTCTTTCGGGGGACAGCGTGAGGAACCAGTGTCTGGGTGGCACTCCGTCCCAGCACCGCGTGCCCGGCCCGCTCAGAGGAGCACCCCACCTGGCCATTGCTGAGAACACAGTCCTCCCGGGGACCAATGACCAGCTTGGGCTTCGGGGTCAGACCCTAGGTCAGAGGTCAGCTCCTCCCCCACCAGAGGTCTGACCTTAAGCAAGTAAACACTTCCGTGTCTTTTCAGTGAGGGGGCAGTAATAGTACCTGCCTCCCGGGAATCGGACTTGCTCATGCTTGTAAAGAAACAGCAAGCGCCTTGCACATACACCGCGAGGGGTGCTGGCTCTAGATCCAGGTTTCTGCCTGTGGCTAGAGGGGCTGTCAGTGGGCCGGCCCTGCTCTCCAGGCCGCTGCCCCCGCCCAGAACCCAGAACCCAGAGTCCAGAAGTGCTTCTCTGGGGGAGCAAAGCTGCTGGGCTGAGGTCAGGGAAAGAGAAGGCCGGGCTGGAACTGTCCAGGTGCCTTCCAGGAACCCTGGCCTTGAAGCAGGCCTGCTGGCTAAGCCCCTCTTCCTGGCGGACCCCAGGCCAGCCATGGTCCCCAGAGAGGCCCCACCTCTCTGCCCCAGATTCCCACCCCCACAGGCCACAGTCAGGAGGAGGGGCATCTTCTTACGGGAACACTGGAGAGAGACGTACCGCTGGGAAGGGCATTCAGATCTGAAGGAGGAAAGACAGAGGTGGGAAAAGGGCACATTAGCCACCTCTTCCAAGAAGCCTTCCCTGGTTGACTCGTGCTCAGCTCCTATCCCATTTCTTTTGCACAAAAACATGGAGATTCTGACCTTCTCCTTCGTGGTGGGAGGCCCCTCCAGTGCGCTCACCAGGAATGGAAACAGCTCGGTCAAACCCTCCCCACTCTCTCCACACCTTTCCAGTGGTGGTTGCACACATTGACCAGATTCCCATCGTCTGAACTGGTGACTCTGTTGTCCCAGCTTCTTCCACAACAGAGCAGGCAGCCTAACCCTCCTCTGGCAGGTTCCATGATGCTCACCAGCAAAGGTGCCTGCAGATCACCTGGCACAGAGCAGGCACTGCCTGACACAAGGCAGGCACCAGGAGCAGCCGGCTCCTTTCCTTCCCTCCCACCCCTTCTCTGGGAGCCTTGCTTCTTCTCTCATCTCCCCTCTCCGGAGGTAGACACTGCCAGCTGGTGGAGTGCCCCCAGGCGCCCTCTTGGTGGGGTGGGACTGGGTGGGGCCGCAGTGCAAAGCTGACACCTGATGAGGAGGTTCAGGGGGAGGCCATGCCCCCCGGGTGGGCCCCTGCTCCTGACCGC